CATTTTTGTTGTTGTATTTTAACCATTTGTCAATGTTCGTTGACCAAAATAATTCTAGTTCTTTATTTTGTATAGACATTTCATATAAACCGTATTTATGGATAGTCCATAGAAACAAACAATTTTATTTGTTTTTACATTGGAAAAAAAAATGTTGAAGAACAAAAAAAGTCATTAAAACGCATGAAAATGTATTCAAATACAACTGTCAATTGCAAGTCCAGAGAAACAAACTATTTTATTTGTTTTTATATCTGGGAAAAAATTAGTTGCTGAACAAAGATTTGATTGAACTCAAACACATACCTGTAAATTGAAAGTCCAGAGAAACAAACTATTTCCAAACGGTCTCTTTAATTCTCTTCCTCCAAAGCTATATAAGATGTTCCCAGACTTCGGCATGACTGTATTGAACTGTCGCGGTAATTCCACCCACACATGCTCTTATTTGCTCAGGCACATTTTGAAAGTGTTCGGTGCTGCACCTTATTTTATTTTATTTAGTTTAAATAGTTTTTTTGCCATTTGAATGCAATGAGAAACCTCAATCCCACATCCCCCTTCCCTTGTAAATGCCACTTTAGATTAAGAAACAAATAGATGTTCGTTCAATTTCGATGGACATATCTAAAAGATTATTTTGAATAGGAATGTAAATAAACGAGTATATTTAGTCTAGAAAGAGAGAGAAAGACATGTGGAGCAGGACATGAAGAGAGATGGGAATGTAAAAGAAACTCAAATGAGCCAGGACTTTTACTCAGCCGGCTTTTGAGTTCCTCCAGGACATCCAAATGGAAAGAAACGAAATGGCATCGGACTTATTTTTGCCCATTTCGTTGTGGAGCTACTCCGGATCCAACTTTCACAGGACACGGACGGTTATTTCAGCTGGGCATGATGAGAAAAAAGACTCTTGTTCAGTCTGGTGGACTTCACAAACTGGAGGATGACAAAAAAAGGAGAGCAAAACATAAGAGATTAACGCCACTCTTGCTGGAGCACGGCTGTAGTTTTCTGTTGTATTATTTTGTATATTGTTGATCACCTCTCTTGTCTATTTCTGTGGTCCGGACCGCTTCCTTCCATGCTGTTTTCTGTGCATCAGATTTTTCCAGGTTCACGGTGTTGTTTATAGTACAACTAAACATCCAACACACTGTTTTTCACAATTCCCAATGAGTGAATGAGCTTGTATTCTGTTCGAAAGGTGAAACGTGTCTCAGTTTTTTAACGAACAAGAGGAAATTTGCCTTTTGTCATTATAAACCGCTCTCGTCAAGACACGTGGCCTGCCCTCGGTTCAGAAGAATGAGAAATATGGGACTTCTGTCTGTGTGATGTGCTTTTTTCGATGTGTTGTTTTGACAATCCCCACCTCTAGGCCTTTGACGCATGCCTTCCTCAGATTGTGTTCGTCTCATCCAGTCACCCGTTTGTATCTACGAATCCATGTTTATTCTTTTGTCTTTTCATAGAAGAGATGTTTGCGTGTGTGTTTCACACACACACAAAAAGACGATTTATTCTCAGGGAGATTGCTGGTCACCAGTATCCTCTGCCGATTACACACACACACACGTTCACATACATAACGCACACACTTTGCACCGAATAGGAGACCCGTATTCTTGATCACTGTGTCCTGTAGCTATATTTAAATATATATATATATATTTTTTGTGAATGTCAACCACAAAGTGTCAAAGACCTTTCCTCTTTCTGCTAATGTACTATTACAGGTTCTTTCAACCTGAATTATAAGACACGGAGTATGAATAAATAAATAAAGACTAAAGATGGATTTTATTCTTTAAAAAGAAACGCCGCCTCTTGTGATTTGTTTTTCGTTGAGTTATTTTGATTCTGTTGTTAAAATTTATTGAATTACTGAAGAATTTTTGCAGTTCTTTTGTAAAATTTTGCATTGGTCTGCAGTAAAAAGTCATATATTATTCACAATTTTTTTAAAGTAACTAAATGTGCTACTTCCTAATTCAATTCATGTTTATTTCTATAGCGCTTTTACAATGTAGATTGTGTCAAAACAACTTAACATAGAAGTTCTAGTGAACTGAAACTGTTTCAGTGCAGTTTTCAGAGTTGAAGTTCAGTTTAGTTCAGTTCCATGTGGTTTAATTTTCACTGCTGAAAGTTCAAACACTGAAGAGCAAATCCATCGATGCGCAGCTCCACAAGTCCCAAACCAAGCAAGCCGTTGGCGAGCAACAAGCTTAACCACATGACGAAAGTGAAGAAAAAAAAAACATGAGAGAAACCAGGCTCAGTTGGGCACGACCATTTCTCCTCTGGCCAAACTTCCTGTGCACAGCTGCCGTCTACGCTCCGGGCTGGAGAATGCTGGACGTCAATCATGGAGAAGCTGCAAGTATAAGTAGGTCACTGGCGGGTGTTCAGGTGGGCCCACATGATTATTATGGAGACTCATCTGTTACTGGGGTCTCATGCTCTCCACTCCTTCAAGCCTGCTACAAGGCAAGGCAAGGCAAGTTTATTTATATAGCACATTTCATACAGCAGTTGCTCAGGATACAGCCTGGTCCAGGATTATGGAGACCTCTAGGAGTGGTTGGCATTGTCTCTTCACAGGACTTTTTAAGAAAAGTAATGTGAAAATAGTTGTTTTGCTTTATTTTAAGAGTAAGATGGACTTAAAATTGTATATATTACTATGTCTATTGTATCTTGGGAAATTAATGACTGTCACACTGAAATTTAGTTGACTGTTGTAACAATATATTTTCCATATTTTAATAAGTACACTGTTAAACCCAACAGTCAACTTTATCAAATGAAATGTGTTATCAAACACTCAAAATTGACTAAATGTTAATTCTACTCATTTGAAAAGAGTTTTGAACTCGGTGTTTATGAGTTAATTAAATATTTCATTACTTCAACATAAATGGATTAAGTTCGCAGTACTCATAGATTAGTTTTTTAACTCAAATGCTTTGTTGTATTCGGTTTCCTCAAACGGTTTGAGTTGCCTTAACTTATTGGGTTTTACAGTACTCAGTTGGTTTGAGTTCTCTTCATTTATTGGGTTTTACTGTGCTCAAATTGCTTCGTTTACTCAAATGGATTAAGTCCACAGTACTCATTAGGATTACAGTAGTTTATTAACTTAAATGGTTTAAGTTATCTTAACTTTTTGAGTTTTACAGTGTATAGGTCAGAATATATTGTATTTTATTTGTACTGTATGCAAATATTTAGGTTTTTCTGAATAAAAGTAAACATTTAATTATAGATTTTCTATTCGGCTTAGTCCCTTTAATCAGGGGTCACCACATGCAGAATGAGCCACTAACTTATCCAGCATATGTTTTATGCCATGGATGCCCTTCCAGCTGCAACCCATCACTGGGATACACTCATACACTACGGCTAATTTAGTTTATTCAGTTCACCTATAGCGCATGTCATTGGACTGTGAGGGAAACCGGAGCACCCGGAAGAAACCCACGCAAACACAGGGAGAACATGCAAATTCCACACAGAAATGCAAACTGACCTAGCCAAAGCTTGAACCAGCGACCTTCCTGCTGTGAGGTGAAAGTGCTATCCACTGCACCATCGAGCTGCCCCAAAGTAAACATTATCATAATATTATATCATTATCCACAGCCTATTTAGACATAATATCTTCATAAACGTTAGCGTGTGAAGATATTTTATCTAGCATAAAATACGTATAGTGTTTATATATTATATAGTTTAAATTACAATTTAGGGCGACATGGTTTCAGTGGTTAGCACTGTCGCCTCATAGCAAGAAGGTCACTGGTTTGAGTTAGTTGGCATTTCTGTGTTTGCATGTTTTCCCGTGTTGGTGTGGGTTTCCTCCGCAGGTGCAACAGTTTCTCCCACAAGTCCAAATACATGCAGTATTGGATTAACTAAATTGGCCTTAGTGTATGTGTGTGAATTTGAGAGTGTTTTTCCAGTGCTGGTGGGGCATCCGCTGTGTAAACCATATGATGGAATAGGGTGTGGTTCATCCCGCTGTGGCGACTCCTAATGAAAAAAGGGACCAAGTCAAAGGAAAATGAATTAATTTATTTAATTACAAGACATTTTGCACAGTTATTTGTAAAATTGTGCATATTGATCTGCAGTATGGGGGGAAAGTAAGACATTACAAGTCACCTTTTTTTTAAAAAGTAACTAAATATGCTACCTTTTGGGGAAAGCAATGTGAAAATAGTTGTTATTTTTCCATGTTTTAAGTGTAAGATAGGCTTAAAATTGTATATATTACTATTTTGTTCAGTACTTAATTTGTTAATACATCTTCTACTGTGATTTCAGAAGACAGACACTGAAATTGACTTTATTGTAACATTATATTTTGCATAATTTAATAAATACAGGTCAGGATTTGTACTATATGTAAATAAATCAGTTTATATGAATGAAAGTGAATATTATTTCATCCATAGCCTCTAATTTAGACATAATATTTTCATAAACGTTAGTGTGTGAATATATATTATGTAGCACAAAGTGTTTGTATATTATATACAGTAGTTTAAAGGACATTTGAAGTAAATTCATATATTCTAAGGTTTTCACTTCTTTTTTTATGTCTTTGTTTGAGTGTCAAAGCATTATTTTAGCAAAACTAATAACTATAAGTGGTTAAATAAATGTAAACACTAGCAGAGAAAGTTAAACCCGGAAGCTGCAGAGTTTCAAGCAACGCGACGCACTCAAGCGACCAATCGGATCATATAATTTTGCATACATTATAACTTTTTCTGTTACCAGAGAACCATAAGTGCATGTACACTAATATAAACAACATATATTTAAACACATTATAAAATACATTTAAATAAGTCACACCTTTATTGCTGAAATTGCTGAGAAACAGCGCGCAAAGGGAGCCACGCATCCTGACGTTGGCAAGCAGCCGACCAATCAGAAATCTTCCATCATACGCGACGCGTGTATATGAGCGTTCTAGTTGCGTCGCGTCGCGGTATAGATGATGGGGTGTGACGTGCACTGCAGGTTCAAACTCTAGTCTGAGCAGGAAGAAGGAATTGCGAGAGTTTTCTCACAGTTTTTCAAACGCTCTCTGTTTTTGTTTTTAACTATTGATCTAACATTACACCGACATTTGTGACAAAGACAGGATCAAACGCAAAGATGTCTGTCGCCGGACTGAAGAAACAGTTTTACAAAGCCAGTCAGGTGAGTGTTATCACAAGTTTCAACTTGTCACACACTAGTCAACAATTGATACATAACATTGAGGTGTAGTTGGATTTATATTTGCACATTCTGGGTTTCTCTTCAATATATAATTTAATTAAAGTCAAATATGTCATATTATCGACCAATGACTATTAAAGTACAACATTGTTCACACACTGTTTATTAAATAGTATTAATGTTGTTTTGAAGTCATTCCTACATGCCATTTCAGACCCAATATTATATAGAAAGCGTGTCATTAGTTGTCACTATTCAATAATGAGCGAAGTACAAATATAAAACTTTGAGGTTATTCAAAAAAGATGCAACTTTGATGTTGACATGTAGCTTTTGTTCAAATCTTCCAGAAACACTTGATCACTTTTTTTTTCTTGTGAATTTCCTTTTAAATTTTGGTTTGGCGTTTATACATGGCTTTTATTAAAGATTATTTCAGTCTCCCCTTTTGTTCTGAAACAGATGCCCAAACTAGGGCCTGCAGACAAAGGTTGGCCCATGATAACCTTTGATTTGTCCCTCCATCCCATCTGAGAAGTGAGGGAGAATGATGGAGAAATGTGGGGGGAATTACTTTAACAGAGATTGTCATTTTTAATTTAACATAACTTTTGTTTTTTTACTGTCTAGCCACTAAAAAAAAAAACAATCTGAAATTAAATGTTTTAATTAAATGTAGTGAGTGAATCAGATTTAAATAATAAATAAACACATTCACTTGATGGATAGTGGACATTGCAGAGGATATCAGCAAGAGAATCAAGGCAAAGTCTATTTTTTAGTGTTATAAATGATTGTTTATTTTTGTTATTGTAAGATGTTCATCATAAAATGTACAAAAATGAATAATTATCAATACAATTAAAGTATTTTAAATGTAATAAATTATATAATAAATTAAATTATATAATAAATTATGTAATGAATTATAATAATAAATTAGGAAATCACATTGACAACTTTACAGTTTGGTATATTTACCTCCGGCCCATCACCCTCAAGTTTAGCTTTGGCCCTTCATAAGAAAAGGTTTGGGCACTCCTGCTCTAGAAGATATTTTCTTTTACAAATGCGATTTACAGTGTTCTTTTACTGATGTTGTGAGCTTTATTTTACTAATGGATAAATATCATATTTATTGTGAAAGGAAAAAATTAAGGCAAATTCGTTTGAGAAATGGTGACGAGTGTTTACCAAAATTGTAGTAGCTTTATCGCAGATTCTTCGTTTGAACCACATTAGTTATACCATAAAATCTCCATAATGCCGCTCTAGACAGGGTGGGTTAACTACTTCTTTAGTAAAAAACACAATTTTTTGTGCAAATTTTATTGTTTTACGCAAACACGCATTTAAAAAAAAAAAATCCAATTATAGTTTTGGTAAAAAGATGCACTCATTTTTCATAATAACTGAAATGTAAGTAAACAACACATGGGACCTATATATGTTTTCTTTACAAATATTGAGAATATTCCTAATAAAACCACTTTATCTAACATGTATTCTAATCTCATGTATAAATCATATAAATCATTAAAGGTTGTAATTTACAATAGGCTATTTATTAAGAAATTTAAAAAAAATTCTACTTACTAATACTACTACTAATAAAAATAATAATAATTATTATTATTATTGAGTAGGATATTGCTTATTTCTTTTTTTATTTAATTTTATTTATTGTAAAAGTATTCTTTTACAATTTGACATTCAAACCACTGCAGAAATGTTCCAACCAACAGGCCCATGTCATATACAGTAGGCTACAGATGCATTTCTTAATAAATAACCTACTATAAATAAAAACCATTAACGCATGCTATATATTTTTGTTTTCACAAGGTTTGGAGACATAGCGTAAATTCTGCTTTTAAATAATAGGTTACCTATAGCTTTCGCCACGAGGTTGTGTTCAAAATGGCATAAATGTTTTCTAAGTGCACTACGAAGGGAATGCAGCTGTAAATATGAAGATCGCTAAAACTGAACTGTAAAAATACTTTGAAAGCAAATTACACAGAAAAGAGATGACTTTATTGCTTTTTTATATATTTTAATCGTTCCAAGTTTAAATGTTAGAATGTTCTAAATGAATAGGGCATTAGGGGATAACTAGGAATAGAACACAGCCAGGAACGATGCTTCTAACTACAGCTCTAGAGGTGTCTTTGCAAGCGTACAAGTTTGCGAAGCAGTTTGCGAATGTTTATTAGAATAATGGATTTGGGAAACGGCAAATCAACTAACCATGCTCGTAACAACACAACTTGCGACCTTAGTTGGTTAACGCTGGTTTTTGGAAAGCACCCCTGGACAGTAGGGCTGCAGGATTTGGCCTAAAATCAAATCTCGATTAATTGAACATTTTACCTCAGTTACAATTAATCAATGATTATTTTATTTATTTATTTGGGTTTTTTTTGGCCTCATAGTACACTGACAAGGTTTGTACAGTAAATATGCTCACATATTGCAAGTGAGAGATTTTTGAATGAAGGGTGCATTGCTTGATTTGAAAATAATTGAAGGAAACAAGCACTATCTATGATTATTTATTGAACATCATAAAAGAAAATATGTCCTCTCAAGGCTTCCCTGATACAGCTTCCAATTATCGTCAATGTAGTGCTAACGTGCGACGTGTAGTTACATTTGCAGATATACGATCTCGGCAAGGCTGTGCCGGACCATTACCTGTGCTGTAAACGCAGAAGTATTAATCAGCCTTAACAGAGCCGGGTCATGTGACTCCACATGCGGTAGAAAAATTTTTAAAAATCCTGGAAAAATTTCAGTGATTTATAGGTTCTGAATGTTGATTACTTTTCGATTATTCGCCCAGTCCTACTGGACAGCATCTTTTGTCATCACACGTGTATTTTAAACTAGTCAGGTAATCGGTAGAGTTTATGGCTCTTTGTCTGGATTTGTGTTTATATTTAATGTTTGTTTCTATATTTTAATTACATCATAAGCTACAAATCTAGGACAGAATATCAATACAAGTAGGCCTACCAAGTTTATATAATTGTAAGTCTTGTTAAGACTATAAAATTTACAATAATAGAGCTACAAAGAGTTTCATAGTGATGTACATGAATGACGCTGTCATTGACTCACTAATTTACTGGAAGGGTCCCTCATGACATAAACATTGCGAACTGCTAGTCCAACAAGTGGTCAGGAGTTCAGATTGAATTTATAACTGAGGCTTTTGAGCTTCAAACATATGCATTTTACTGACTGAATCACTTAATTAACTTGCATTTATTTGATTTGTATCTGCTCAGGGTTTGTTTTCAGATGCATACAGTCATCTGTAATGTAGATAAAAAAAGGATTCATGCTTATAATATATAAATATATACATGTATCTTTATGTATTTATCCACAATGCTTGGGACTCCTACAGTATTTAGTGATATTCTCATGATGATAATAGACATTTTAATTTCCAGTTTAGTTTATATTGCACAACACATTACATATTTTTCCTTTTAATGTTGTTTTTGTAATGCATTGCCTTATTATGCTCAAAAAATAACTGCAGTACTTTTGATTTGCACAGTCAAGCATAAGTAGTATTCAGGATAACAACTATGTAACTATATGAATAATTTTAATTATAATGTTATACAGTTGAAGATAAATTTATGCATAACAAATGCAATGATGCATAACAAAGCAATGGATTTTCACAGTCATTTCTATACTTTTCCCATTGAAATAAAATGTTATTTGTTTTATATTGGCTGGGATAATATACAGGTCAATATTATTAGCAATTGAAGATTTTTTTTTTCATTGGCTATAGTATAAACCACTGCTGTCAATGTCAAATGACTTTTAAGTAGTTGTTAATCTTAATAATTGAATAACCTAATAATAAAACTTAATTTAATGAACTAAACCTAGTTATGCTTTTAAATTGGACCTATTAGTAAAGAAATACTAATAAATACTAGTTTCTTGCATGGGATGATAACAGTTTTCAAGGTATACTGCGGTTTGGAAAAGTACAGTTGTCTTCAACTGTATATAATTATCTCTGTTCTGTTATTTATTTGCCCTCCATTAAAGAAACTTCACTTAAGCACTAAAAACTGAACTACCCTGATCCAGTTACTATAACCATTTATGTGAAGCTGCTTTGACACAATCTACATTGTAAAAGCGCTATACAAATAAAGCTGAATTGAATTGATTTGAATTAAGAAAATATTTATATGCAAGTAATAAATAATATGTTGTCTGCAGTTATGACTTAAATACAGTCAGAGCAAATTACTTATTCTTTATATAGTGAATAACGCTGCTTTACTTTATTATGTGGTTGGTAAACAACCCTTTTAGGTACTAGCAAGTCAGTTTAACACATGGCAGTCAGATAAAGAAAGTGATTTTTTAAATGCAAATATTAGATATCTTTTTTTTTTTTTTTTTTTTTTGCTGAATAAAGATTTAATCCAGGCCTTTTTCTCATGTATTTAATCAGAAAGAGGCCTGTATTCACTTTTGCACATGCGATTTGAGACTTTAGGTTGATGTTTTTTCCTCAGCCAGTCTGACATTCCTTGTAGCTCAAGCAAAACAAGTCTGACATGTGCATACATGTTGTGGGAGAATCAGCATCTTAATGTCAGATGGGAGGTCTTGCATTCGCAGAACTTCATTACAATCTAAACTAAAGCCTGCAGGGTTGAAAATGGAGAACTTCCTGATGTACTAGAGGACAAATCAGGAGTTTTTACACTGTTTTGTTCACTGTAAAAAATGTTGGGTTTCACACAATTAATTAGTGTTAAAGCAATTAAGTTATCTTAGTAGTGTTTACAAATTTAAATGGATTGAACATAAAACAATGAAGTTTCCCCCCAAAAATTCAAGATTTTTGTTTTTTTAGCTCATTTTAAACAGTGTTGGGTAAAGTTACTTTTAAAAGTAACGAATTTCAATATTAAGTTACTCTCCTAAAA